AAAATAAATTTTACCTCCATGAACTTCAGNTTTTTTTTTTTTTTTTTTTTTTTTTAAAAAACTTAAGAAATTTTCCGGAATTTTGACTGGGACTCACAATCACCCCTGAATTAGTGACTTGAGGCCCTACGACCTACCTATACCAAATTATTCGAAATTTACCTATATTCAGAAATATTAAAAAAACTTCTTATGAAATTCAGAGATCCCAGGCGAATTTTACATTTAAAAATACATAAAACTTTTAATGATTCTCAAAGAGAATCTTGAGGCATTACTCTTAAAAAAGTTTTTAAAAAAATGTTTCGAAAATTACAAAAATAAATTTTACCTCCATGAACTTCAGAGGTTCCAAAAAAATATAGGGTCCTGGGGCTACAACCACATTAGCTTCGCACTTAACCCGGGCCTGAACACTTGGAGTTTTTAGAAGGTGGTAACAGTTCTTGCTAATGATTAATAGATTGCAATATCGTTAGTTACTTAACATAGTTATTAATTTCCACAAGATTTTGGAAATTTTACAGCTTTGGATAAACTTGAACTCTTCAGGGCCCTATGTCTCCTTTCTTCTATTCGGTAAACTTTAATTATCATTCATTATTAATGAGTTTTAGCGAAATGTGAGTGTGACGAACTTACGACGTTCAAATCACACAGATTCTACAGTAAAAAGTAATTTTCGATGCATCGTGCATATATAAATTTATAAACTCAATAAATTCTTAAATTTTACGGTTTAGAAAGAGGTTTTTTTATTGGAAATGTTGCAGACGCTGAAAAACTTGAATGTTTGTCGTTGTTGACAATTCGTCTTCGACATTTCGCTTTCACATTCAATTCTAGATTTTTCTCTTCGCTTTTTTGTTTTATAGGTTAGTGATAGAAACTGTTTTAATGACTAATTTTCTTGTTTAGGCATCGAAGGTCGTGGGACGAGACCAATTAGGACTTAATCCGACGTACATCTTGGTCTCGGATTAAAATTCTTTGAGGTCAAACGGGCAAGCGAGTTCCAACTCATCTCTGGTATATAGGCTGTCCTCTTGGGGATAATCTAAAGAACTCTAGGACTAATTAATAGACATTTTCATATAAAAACAGAATGATTTCATTAAAAAAAAAAAAAGCAAAAGCCAACAACTGCAAAATGTCCGTTGTACGTGTCTGATTATTGTCCATCGTGCCTAAGAAATCCCTCCCATATGTGTCTGTTTTTTTTAATGCGTTTATTTTGAAGAATTCTGAAACTGTTGACAAATTTTCTGATATTTCCCCAAACTTGAGAAAAATAAAGTAACATATTAAGATCATTTAAAACTAATTTCGTACTAATCCGATTCCTAAGAAGTTTTGTAAGTCATTAAAATCTTTTTATGGACGCATGGATAGATGGCAAAAAACACATGATTTCTTCTAAGCATTGATTTATGCGTACAGTCTTTGAAATTATATATTTTTTTCCCTTTATTATTTTATTCTGTTCATATGCCACTTATAAAAATCAATGCACAAAGCGTTATGATTAGGAATTATTTTAATAGGACTATTGGAATTAAATCTGCGGATTTCGATTTCTTTTGAGGATTTAGGAAATAATCTGTGTATTTCAAAAGCTTAAAAAAAAGACTATTTGTTTTATTTAGAGTCCTGAATTAGAAAAACAAAAAGTTTTTTGATAGTATAATGAGGTGACGCTTGCAAAAATCGCATTTCATGCTGTCATGGGTTATAAAATTACTTTCTTGTTCCGGTGGAATTTGAATTGAAAAAAATTTGGGAAAACATCAAAACTGACTATGAATTTCCTTCCGGGTTCATGAATGCGTTCAATATTGTTATTTATTTGCGATAGACACTTAAAGTGCGTGCAACCATACATGACTAAACTTGTAGCTTAGCGTGTTGTCGACTAAAAGAGCATCAAAATTTCACTTCGTACCAAACTGCATTTTCTTTACTGCTATGCTCCACAAACCTCGTTGCCATTATTATTTCCAATAATTGTAATCATATATCGTTTGCAACATCGTTTAACACTTGTATGAACAAACTGCGATCGTGTGAATCCGCTATTTAGAATCGTACATGTTAGATCTCATGAAAGAGAACTGATGTGTTTCGAATTATTCTTTTTTTGCTTTGCGCTTTCACATTAGGAAGCTTTATTTATTTATTGTTAATTTAGTTTAGCTATTTATTAAAATAGTTTGATTATTTAATTTGGTTAATTTTTTAATTCATATAGTGTTTTTAATAAATGAGTTTTTATTTTTCTTCATTTATGATTCTACTAAATGAAATTATGATTCTACAAAAATTATTTGAAATCCAGGATTAGCTGAGTTTTGATTTAATTCATTTTGGGTTGGGTCAAAAATATTTTAGATTTATACCCATCAGTTATTTGTAAATTTTTTTAAAACTGATTTTATTGTTTTTATTTATTTCAAGAAATAAAGATTTAAAAAAAGAAATGGGGAATACACATTTGGAGTAAATTCAGTTTTTTATTAATCGGTCCTTCATTTTTACAATTTTTAAAAAGTTTGTTTAGCATGGACATAATTACTTTCATGTTTTTCAAATAATTGTTCTTTTGGAGATATTAAGTTTTATAGTTAAAAAAGGGATATAACTGATGAAATGAAATATCCGATTCAAATCCAAAAAATCGGATTCTTTGTATTTGGATAGGATTAATCATGATTTCAAGGTTCAAGTCGTGTTTTTCTTTCTTTTTTTTTTTCTTCCCCAATTTGGTTTGAAACTAATTTTACACAAATCACTTAAATTGATAGAAAGATTCAATTGCAGTATTATTTATCAATGTCTAATTACTTTCCCTAACCTAATTTACTACGCGAAACCTTTTTAAAAATCTTATATGCTTCTAAAATACTGGCGAACCCACGCATTTTCAGATTCGAATGTTCAAATGAGAAGTAGTCTTACGTTTCGGAAAACTTTTTTAACTTTTACTACCCTATGAAATCCAGATATAGATTTGAAGCCTTTCAACTGTTGTGCCAGCCGAGCTTAAATAAACTTTTTTTTAAACGCCTTGCACAGATCTCCAATTTCTAAAAAAAAAAAAAAATGCTTTTTAGCATTAAACATTTTTCGTTTCGACCATTTACGTTTTTCTATTCACTCAAATATTTAAAAAAAAATTTATTTTTTTCCCAATGATCTTTTTTTTCCTCAATTAGTCACCTTAAGATTAAATTGTGACATCGAATTTTTCTGTAAGTGACTGATTAATTTAATAATCTCATATTCGAATCTCGGCCTGAAAAGTAAACCTTTACTAACTTATGCCATAAATTGTTAACTACGTATTTAATTAATTTTTGAGAGAATAAGCTGTTTCATTTATTTCAAAGATACCAACTGGTAGCGAATGTATTCGGGATCGGAACTTTTTTATTTGTGATTTATTCACTTTTATGAGTTGTTCACTTAGCGGAAGTGTTTGGGAGTGCGTGACATATAGCCTTCATTCTTTTTATATTTCTACGTAATGTAACATTTCAGTGCATAATCAGTTAAAAAAAATTTTCTCCAAAATACTGTAGGATGAACGGAAGAATAATCATATTTTTGAGATCTTTCTTTTTAAAAAGGAGGAGGCTCAGAATTTTACTATTAAATTCTATTTTGCGTTTATTAAGTTAATATTTTAATGTGCAGTGTTGTAGTTAAAGCTTTTGTTTTTCGCAAATGATTACAAAATTTATTAAGAATAATTGACTACGCCAGATCGAGTTCCGACTATTTTTGAAATTTTCTCGACTTATTCGTTTAAATTTATTGTTTTATTTTTAAATTCTAGCTTCTAGTCAGTCGATTCCAAATTTAACATCAGTAGTTTAAGATAGGATGAAAAGTATATTTGACCCAATAAAGGCATTATTTCGTTATAGGCAAACTGCAAAAGTAATTTCTCAATTCGTTATCGTAAATCTAATATCCCTCTCAAGTTTTTCCTTTCGAAGCAGTAAACAAAATTGTTATTAAATTTATTTGATGGATGTTTAGTTGCATTGGATTTATAAATAAAATTACCTAAGTTCGTGTTGCGATATGGCCATACTAATGTTTTAGCACTACCATAAATTTTTATTCTAAATCAGCGTTTCCTAATTTTTTTTTCCTTTATGGAACGAAGCCTACAAGGCCGATTTTTTCTTTTTGGCTGAGCCTCGCCTCATACTTTAAACTAAAAGCTCATTAGCAGCTGTAAATATGCTTGAAAAAAAAACAAAAACATTATTTGGAAACATTTATTGTAAAGAATGAAATTGTTTTACCAATAACAGTTATAAATTGAGGTTTTACATCAGACAGTTGAATTCATAGATCTACAGCGACTTTTTGTTCACTTGTTTTAGTGTGTATATAACCTTAGTCGAATTAAATAAAATATTTAAAAAAAATTTTTTTTAGAATTGTTTTAAACTGTTAGAATAGTTGTTTTAGAAAAATAATTATTTATTCTTGAATTTGAATAGTTCTGTTAGAATAGTTTTATTTTGAATTGTAAAGTTCCATGAGAAATACTTATGTATAAAAATGGTAAGAAACATTTAGGCATTTTTGTTTTTAAATTTACCAAAAATAATTTCTGGTTAAATAAAGTCTACTCAGGGAAACCCTGCTACCTTTACACTGAATCCTATCGTTCCAGAGAACACCTTTTGGCAACCATTGTTCTAAATTTAAATTCCCTTTTGCTTTCATTAGTTGTCGAAAATTTCTTGTTATCTGTGAATTACAAATTTTTTTTGTAAAGATGTATTGATAATTTTTTAATTGATTCTGTAATGTTTTTATATTTTTTAGAGATCTTTAATTAGCTTATTTAATTGTACTTTCATCAACTATATATGTAAAGTGCAATTTCTTTGTAGTATTTAACTAAAAATATTGATAAATATTTAGTGTTCCATTATTGCCATGAAGGTAGATGTGTAAATGTATTTTTTCTTTCTTTCCAGATTTGAATCCATAACATGGGAAATTTGTTAAGGCTTTTATCTAGAGATGATAATCCTAAATATGATGTATTTGTTGATTTTGAAAGTGAGTTTTGATATATTTTTTCTTATGTTAATAATTACTAGTGAATTTTTTTAAAAAAAATTTTCCTCTAAAAAATACATACAAATAAAACTGTAACTTAAAAAAAAATAGTTATAGTTTTGATGTTTTTGTTCTAGATTATCAATTTTAATATATCATATAAATTTCTTTACTAGTAAGTAAAAATTATTGAAATAACAGATTCGATATAAAAAGTAATAAATGCTCTAGTGCAGAGATTCACTAGTGCAATAGACCTAGGCAGTGTGTCGTGAATTAATAATAATATTTTTGAACAAGACGATCATACTATTTTAAGATACATTCTGGCGATATATCGTGAATAGCGTGTACCACGATAATATCGTGAGTATTATCTGTTATGATTGAACACGATATTATCGTGAAGAGCGTGTACCACGATAATATCGTGAGTATTATCTGTTATGATCGAACACGATATTATCGTGAGTAAGTGTTAAGGAATTTTAATTTCGATAACGAAAATATTAAAAATGAAACAATAATTTGACGTAGGTTTGAAAAATAAACGATGTGTATCGTGAAATATCGCTATTTTCTAATGATATATCGCGATATTAAAATTTAGATATTTCCCCTAAAAATATTTGGGTACCTTTTCTTTTCTTTATTATGTTTTTTTTTTTTTTTTTTTTTTTTTTTTTTTTTTTTTTTTTTTTTTCTAGCTTCAATTTGTACATCTGACATAGTTGCCCTGAGTAAGTTTTTGTTGTACAGGAAGCTGATTTTTTTTGCAGATTATGAACTATGGTAACACAGAGGTTTATCTTTCATAGCAAAATTAAAGTTCCAGAATTTAAAAATGCTCTAGTGAGCTTTTCTTTTTTTTAAAATTTCATTTTAGTTAAGGCATGCACTATCTGCATTCCTCAACTTATGAACTAAAAATAGATGAAGAAACTACATCACTAGCCATAACTCTTTTAATTAAATTTAATAAATTTAGACATGAAAAAAAAATGTTAAAATATTAAATTCCAAAGTGTAGAGATATTCTTTCAAGGTATCAAGAAATTTAAATTTTTTGACTTTTCAATTTCTTAAAGAAATTTTTCATTAACCAAAACATGTTTGAAACAAATATTTATTTGGAAAATATGGTTAAAAAATTAATGATGTTAAAAGTTAATGATGTTAAAGTTAATTTTTAAGCAGTGGAAAAAAATAATGAAATTGAGTTTTCCACAGAGGAACTGTAAAATTTTGTTTGTTTATTTTATTTAAGGAAGCAAGGTATATGAATGATTTTTAATCCCAAAATCTCTCTCTCTATATATATACTGTAGGAGGATGTTTAATACCTTGAACCGATTTAAACTTTTTATTTGTTTACTTTTTTATGCAGAAAGTACTAATTTAAAAGTAATAATTTTGTTTGAACAAATTTTGTCATGTACCTCACTTTTTTTGGGTGGGGGGATTTTTTAAAAATTGTCTTAAGGTACAACACCATGTTGTACCTTGAATATTTGACTGTTATTCTTTGGATAACACTCATGTCAAGTTATCTTTCTCTATATTTAGCTGATTGAATTTGGATTTATAATCTTATTTTTAGATGCTCAACCCACAGAAATAGAGCGAGAATCTTATGACATTGTAGATGAAGTACTACAGTATTCAAAAGACATATTACAAGAACTCCAAACTTATAAAGGAGCAGTAAATGAAATTAGAGAGGTAAGCATTAAATTTTAAATAATTATAAGCATGTTTTTGATTTATATGTAGCATTGAAAAAGCTTTGAATTTACTCCTCACAAATGTTCGATGCGAAACTCTTTTGTTATACTACATTTATATAATTCTTTCCAAACTTTGTATAACATTTTTATATCGATGCTAGCGATATCAGCTGGGTTACGGCTTTACAAATTAGTCATGGTCATTTAAACCTGGAGGCACATAAACGCGAGCTATGATTCGTTACATAAACGTGAGCAACCTTTTACAAGCCTTCATTGGAAAAAATCGCATAGATTAAGATCTGGGGATCATGGTGGCCAAGGCAAAAGTGCATTGTCTCAAGTAGGTATGCAACCAATGCAGTATTGTGACAATGTGTTACTATGAGTGTTGTTTTTCTGCCTGTTTAGTTTTATCAGAAACTCTGATCATGATTGTACTTTCAACACCATCTATTGGCGACTATTACGAGCTTTTTTGTATTACCTCTGCATATGAGTCCTATTTTTAATTAATAAATTTATTTGTTGCATTGTACACCTATGAAACTGGGACATTCATTTTGACTTACAATGGTATCATTAAATTAGCTTATAACTAGTGCTTTGCTAAATTGGGATGATAGGGAGAGTTATAAATCCTTCCTGTAGTGTTTATTTTTTTATTGTCACAAAATTGTGGAGTCTTTACCTCTTTGACTTTCCATGCCCACAAAGGGCTGTTGTGTGAATGCTTTATTTTCATACAATCTTGTACATTAAAAAAATATTGTAGAAATCTTTTCATATATGCTGTTATAAATAAGTAAATAATTTTTCAAAATTAGAGGGCTTCTCCGAATGAGGAAAATGATATACGAAATTCTTATCTCGGCTATTATGATAATATACCATTAAAAGTTATGTACGCTTTATTTTTTCCAATATAATTTTGAAGTAACAAAACATTTATCAAATAAAACATGATAGATTAGATTCAATTTGTTATGTCTTTAGTTCAGACCCATAGTTTTTTAAAAATGGTGAAGAAAGCTTGAAATTAAAGACATTAAAAAAAAATGCTTATAACTTAATAAACAGACAAATTTGTTTTAATAGTTAACGATGCAAACTATGTTCTGTGCAGTCCAAAAAAGGAAACTAATTTTTATTTTTAACTGGTCTATTTTTGAAGGGGGGGGGGAAACACTATGTGTTAGGTTTACAAGAAGAATATTAAAACATGACAGCACATACACGTGTGAATTAAGGATTTTTGCTAACCTGTTCCCTATTAAAAAACTTTCTTTCTACTCTCCTGGCTTATAAAGTGACATTTCTCTTTAAAAATGCAAATATTCTTTTAAATAGATATGATTCTAAATACTATTAAAATAATTAATAGTTATGGATTTGTTGCAGTAATTAAGTAAATAATCTTTCCAATTTTTTTATCTAGGCCATTACTAATCCAAGAAATGATTTGTACCAACAAAGAGCTTGGGAAGCTGTGCTTCCTTTAGTTTCTAAGTTAAAAAGATTTTATGAATTCTCTCAACAAATTGGTAAGTTTATTTATTTTTTGCGTAAGTAATTTAAAAATATTAATTTTTTATTGGGTTTGAAGTTGAAAAAAAAATGTGTGCTATTTTATTAGAAATTGAATAAGTTAAATAAAAATTTCAGTAATATTTTCATTCAAAATTGAATAAAAAAATTTCTGACAAAAATCACATTATCTTTATTGTGAATTTATATATATTTTTCTGTTTTGTTCAAGGGTATACAATATTTTTCTCATTTTAAAGATCTCATTTCTCAATTAAGCCTTTAAATGTACAACTTTTTAAAAATTAGAGATCTCAGAAACTATTTGACAGATTTTGCTCAAATTTTGCATTTTGCCATGCAAAATGACATTCTTTAAAATGATGTGAAAATATACTTCAATTTTTTTAAACTTTTATTAAATTAAATAATAAATACTTACAAAAAGTTAATTTTAGCATAGAAGTAACCTTGTATAAACAAATTTTAAAATTAGATAAAAAAATTTTAAAATTAGTTTTGAAAGTTCTCAAAATATGCAGAAAGTAAAATTAACATTAAGGAACCTAAACTTCAGACAGCTGTCTGAACTAAAATAATTGGGACCATATTTCCCAGATTGCAGCTACGTCTTATATTTAGGGTGTGAGAAATCTGAATTCGCTGAAAAAAAGGCATGTTTATTCAGACAAAGTATGTTTTTCTGTGTGATATCCTAACTTAAAATATCATCTGCACTAATTAATTAGCATATTTGAGGTCCCGCCCTTAAACCATTATGATTGGGTCCCAGAACGTGAGGATCCGAGCATAGATCAAAAATTATTCAGGGTAGTCTGTCTACTTATTTGTGCCCTGTATTTATATAAACATCTTACGACAAAAATACACAAGTGGGCGACCTTTGTGCTAAAATACAGACTAAGGTAGACAACGTTAAAGAGCATAAAAATATTATTAAAAGCAGACAGCTGTTTCGGATGCTCAAAGGGCAGAGGTTATTCTCCTAACATTATTGATAATATTTATAAAAACTTAACTAAGCAATCACATGTTGATAAACCTTCCAAAGAATTTTCTAACAATTTAGTCATTTTACCCTATTTTCCTAAAATAAGTCGGCAAGTTGCTAATATCCTAAAGAAGTTTGATTTTAATATTATTTTCAGTCCCATTAATAAGATAAAATTTTCTAATCTCAAGCAGCCCATTGACAGTCAAAGTAGCTGGGGTATATACCAAATTAATTGCCATATATTGGCCAAACTAATATATATTGGCCAAACTAATATATATTGACCTGTCATATATTGGCCAAACTAAGCGTGCCTTAAAGTGCCGTGTCAAGGAACATGAAGCTTATGTTAAAAAACAAGAATTTAAACGCTCATCTATTGCCCAACATTGTTGGGACTCTAATCATAATTTTAATTTTTCTTCTTCTAAAGTCATTCAAAATTGTTCTTCAATATTTGATTTAGATTTTTACGAGTCTTATCATATTTTCAAAAATTCCAAATTGTTGGTCAATGACCTATCAAGTGTTCCTTATATTTCTCCTGTTTGGAAATCTATGATAAAACCTAACTAACCGCCCCCCCCCCTCTTTGTTCCTTGCTTCCTATTTGTCGTCTTCCGTTCACCCTTCCCTCCTATTGGCCGTTGCTCTAAACCCTCTTGTGACGTCATCTTTCTATATATATTTACTCTGTTCTCTTAGTGTTTTCTGTTGCACTGATGAAGGTTGCCCTTTGAGCATCCGAAACAGCTGTCTGCTTTTAATAATATTTTTGTGCTCTTTAATGTTGCCTACCTTAGATCTTACAACAAGAAGTTTTTTTAATGAATATTCATGAACATAAGACTGTCACAGATGTGTTAAATTTATCAACATATCTTTATAATCATCTTTGCTTATTAAATTTGGTTTTCGAATTTACAAATTACAAAATAACTTATTAATAATTTACTTATTAATATCCTTTTTTTTTTCAATAATTTTCTGTGTCTTTTTTTTTTTCAATAGTTAAATTAAATATAGGTTAAAAAATCATTTCAATTTGATACGATCTAATTTAACTATTTCCCATAATATTCATTCAAGTAATATTATGGTGGAAATAAAGAGTTTTCTAATAGCTTAACTTTTAACTAATCCGATTCAGTGTTATGCAAACGTTCAACTCTTGTCTCCTCCAAAATTCTCTCCGGCTCCGACTGTACTTTTGGGAATTCTGGGGAAATGTTGCTTTAAATATAGTATTTCAAATTAATCATGTTCAAAGGAATTAAAAAAAAAATATCTTACTGTAGATCATAAACTGTATTAAGATTTATCTATTTCATTGTGTTATAAAGTTATTTATCTTCAGAATCAAATAAGTATTCACACTTTTTGTTTTTTTAGACGATGTGGTACCTCGTATATTATGGGAATTATGCTCAGGTCCCCTACCTCCTGCTCAGCATTTACATACTCAACAAGCTCTAGTCAAACAATTTGCAGAAATTTTAGATTTTGTCCTAAAGTTTGATGACTTGAAGGTAATTTTATCTCTGTATATGTTTATCTTTGCATAATTTTCAAGTGGCTTCTTTCATTATAAAAAAATTTCTTTTTTAAAATTTTTTGCAGTTTCTTGATTGCAGTAGTTAGATAAACTTTTTGGCAGCAAATGTCTGTTAAAATATTGTTCTGCTGATCTACTCTAGTTTTTTTTTATTGATTTTACATAAGATTGCATCAAGCTGTGTTAAGTTAATGTTTGTTGTTCCCATTTTTTTATTATTTGGAGACTCTGCCCCCTGTTAACTTTGGCCACCAGACCCTGTGGTTTCATCTAATTTATCTTTTTTTTCCTTATAAGTTAATAAAAATATAATTTGTTTTTAAAATATAATATTTTTAATTTGTTTATAAAGTATAATAACTTCATTTATGCTCATTTTTTTTAATATGTTAGTTGTAATGAAATGAAAGGATACCTGAACTTGAAAAATAATGCTCAACAATTTTTAAATTACCCTCTTATAATATTTTATGTGTGTATTTCAAAAACTTATTTTTAAAATTCAATCTAATTATAATTGCTGTATTTGGCAATAAAAAAAATTTTTTAATACATTTTTAGATTTTAAATTATTTGATATTTCTCGATAGGCATTTATTTAATGTTTTTTCCAGTTGAATAGATATCTCTAACATAAATTTCCAAAATATTATTCAATTGGACAGTAGATATTAAAACGCATTGACATTAACTGAATTTCTGAGAGACGTGGTTTATTTATTTTATGTTTGAATCTGAAACCTCTTTTTTAATTTAGATGACAAATCCAGCCATACAAAATGATTTTAGTTACTATAGGAGGACTGTTAGTAGGTTACGACTTGCAAACCAGGTAAAATATTTTTAACAATAATATTCTATACCTATTCATAAAACTATAATTTTTTTCATTTAGTTTTTTACTATTAAAAATTTTAATACTTCTATCAACTTAATTTAATGACTTAATGTTTCATCATTTGTCTGTAGCACTTTTTACTCTGCGATTTAAATTTGACTAAAGTTTATTGATTTTCATATTCATTTTACTTAAAAAGCTAGATAGTAGTATTATATTTTATAATTTATCTATGCATACACACTTCTACAGGATAGCAAGATTGATCGGATGGACATTCTGAACAGGGTGGCAAAATTTTACTCGATAATGGAACACATCTACATGAGCAATATCTGTCTTGATCGCAACACAAGTAGTGAGGAGCTAAAACATAGTTTTCCACTGTCTCATTTAAAATTTAAAGAATTAACGCAAGAATGTGAACTTCAGAAAATTTTTCATTTGTGAGATGATGCTTGATGTACAAAAAGAAAAATATGGATTTAATTGATGAACAAAGAATTGCTCTAAGAGCTGCTCAAAAAAATTACTTGCTGTTTTTACAAATGTATGTCACTCCCTATGCCGTGGGTGTAAAGCCTGTATTACAGCTTGCAAAAGATCTTTTAAGCAATTTCTTTAAGCATCTTTTCGAGCAATACCTAGTTCTTTTGAGCAATTTTATTGTACATCAATCTTATTGCCTTGAATAAAACTTTATCTAAAGTGACTTTTCCTATTTTTGTGTTAATTCTTTAAATGTAACATTGTAAAACTACCTTTTAATTTCTCACTGCTTGTGTTCCGATCTTACTTTCTATGACAAATATGCTGGTGTAGATGTGTTATCTCACCCTGTATATAGATGTAGAGAAACTATCACCTTTGTTTGCTATTTTAGAATATTATTATTGTATTGCATATTGTATATTAAACTGTTCTCAGAAGTCTAGTGAGAATATAATTATGAATATTAATTATATTTTAATTGATAACGTGTGGGACAGTGTGCACTTCTACTTTATTGTAATATCCTATGTTTTAAGACCTTTTGTTATTATTTTATTAGTAATTTTGTTTATAATTTGTTAATATTGCTCAGAATTGGGTTATTTAGTGTTTTTCTGAGGGTGGAGCATAACCTTTTGAGTTAAAATTTAATAAATGATGTTTATAGATTGATAAACTTATGATTTAGCCTAGAACTAAGTTTAAGAAATTATTTTATTACTCTAATGAATGATTATTTTCAAAGGATTTATTTTTTTTAACTGCAATTCTAAAATTATTGTTATAGGGTATTTGAAATCAAAATCGAAAAAAGTTAGTTTTATTTGTATGAAATATCACTTTTTATTCTTTGAAAACTTTCTCAAAAATTTAAAGCAAGATAAATTTATTGTATCTAAGGTAATAGATATAAATGACTGTTGTGTTTTAACTGATGTTATATTCAGTATAAATAGTAATCAGAATTCTAGGTATTTAATGCACAATTCTTCAATGTTTTTGGTATAAAAAAAAATTCACTTTTTAAAGAAATTATTTCTCTGTTGAGTGAAAGGTATCTTATATCAATAAATTTTCATTGTTTCTAGGAGCCAATTGACGAAGAACTAGAAGTACCTAATGAATTAGCCAACAAAATGTCACTGTTTTATGCTCATGCCACTCCAATGTTGAAAGTTTTAAGCGATGCAACAATGCGCTTTGTTGCTGAAAACAAAGACTTACCCATTGAAAATACAACAGAAACATTAGGAACTATGGTTAAAGTTTGTCAGAGGATGATAGAAAACAGGTAAATTTACGATAGAAAACAGGTTAGGAAATGTTATTACTGTCTTAGGAGTTTTTATTTGACCTGAAATTTCAGTGTCGTTCGTTCAAGTATTTATTCAGTCTTCTTGTGATAATATAGTATTTTCCTTTTAAAGTTATATGGTTTAATTGTAAGTCTTACTACAATGTTGTCTTTCGACATTTTGTCTTTGACTGAAAAAAATAACTAAACAAATATAACTAATAAGAATAACTTTACGTAATTTTACCAATAGAGTGTCCCCTTTCTATGAATTTGGATGAAATTTCACAAGTACTGTAATAACACTGACTGTATTGATAACTTAGATGGTGTGCTGGTAGAAAAAGTATTCTCTTTTTAAACTTAATTTTGCTCATCTACTTCACTTTTTGATGCTGAATTATCTGAAGATACCTCAAAACTTATCTTCTGTCTGTGTGTAAGAGAATTTTCTTTTCCCACCTGCTTTATTCACTTTTGCTTTTACTTTTTAGGGGCTGTATCATTTGCTCATTTAATGACACTTTTTTCATCATTCTTGATATATCTTACTTTTTTCTTTAATAGTGCTGTTCGGATCATTCTCCGTTTTTTTACCTTCTTGAAAATAAAAAAAGAAAAGTTTAAAGTCAAATACCTAAAAAAAGTAATATTTTTATGCATATAGATAAAGAATATGAAAACTCTTATAATTTAATCTGTGTTAAATAATGTTAAGAAAGCCAAATTATATGTTGTATAATGTTAAGAAAACAAAGTGTACTTTTTTTTAATTGAATTTATTATTTTTATGTAGAATGAGATTATGTAATAGAAAATTGTGAGAAAGAAATGGACGGTGTAAATATCAGAAACAAATATTACCAAATTTGTAGAATCAGCTATATAAATAAATAAATCTTTAATGAATTATTTTGCTTGGGACAAATGAATTAGTTACTTTTGTGGTGAATTAGTTACTTTTCTATGACTCAGTGTGATTTTAAAGTATTATAAGAAAGATAACAAGGACAAAATCTTTTGCTTATATAAATATGTATATTGAGATGTTGATTTTTTGTAGGGAGTTCTGTAGTCGCTTTAGAAATGAAGAAACCATTCTTTTTGTGTTGAGAGTGATGGTTGGATTAATAATTCTTTATGATCATGTGCATCCAGTGGGAGCTTTTGCCAAATCTGCTCATATTGATGTAGGTATTCAGGTTTTGTTGTTGGCTGTCAAATTGTTTTCTTCTTATTATTATTAAATCTTATTCACCATTTGTGTTTTAAGTGTATCTCAGTGAACTGAACAGTAAGATCTATAAAATTGCTAATTTTTTAAAGAGTAATTTCTATGTATTCATCAATTTTTTTATTTATTTATTTATTTTTTTAATTTCTCTTTATACTCAAAACTTAAAGGTAATAAAGAAAGATAAAATTAAGTTAAAATTTATCTATGTTTCAATTATAAGAAGTGAACTAAATTAGGCGTTCATATCTTCGCTAAATTGCTATAATTAGTGTTTTGGAGAAGAACACTAATTATCCTCGTAAGAATCTTACTGCAATAACACCATAATAAGGTTTAACTTTGGCACACAATTTATATTCAGAGTTAATAGCTGATTATTTTTTGTAATTGAGAACTTATGGCTGCCATTTTCATATTAGCAGTTGAAGATTTGTAGCTATTCTTTTATCTCTCAACTGTTAGTTTAAATTTCAAATATAATAAACAGTACATATTCTATCTAAATATTTCAAATAATTATTATAATTGATAATATTTTTGAAAGCTGAATTGCATTGATGTCTGCTTCTATATATTTTCTGTAGTTTTATATTTCTTTTGACAGCAGAAACCTAGAAAGTAAAATTTGTTTCCAGTTTTTTTTTTATGACTCAGTATTTTCTGCTATCTTTTCTTTTTAAATTCCTGAACAATTGCTTATTTTTACTAGCTTTATTTGTAATTTTAAAAACAAATCCTTGCAAAATACATTTAAATGAATTTATTTTTAATTAAATTTTAAGTGGTCTTCACATAACTTTTATATTGGCTTGTTTTATTGTTTATGGAAGTAAATTGTTAATTTCACATAAAAAATTTTTTTAAAGCTATATTCATTGCAATAAAAAAAAGTTTAGAGTGAATAGAAAAGCACCATGGCATCACTGGAAATGAGATTTTTCTACTTTTTTTAATCCCCCTAAATTTTGTCTCGAAAAACTGTGAAAGGGGATCCAAGAAGCTTTGTGTGTTTGCAATAGAATCATTGCATTGGTATCGTAAAAAAGTGATAACTCAAATTTAAAAAATAGCTTATTATAGCATTGTATATAAAATATCCATATTTAAAAAGCCCATATAAAAATCACCACTAAGTCCTAAAAAAAAAATGCATTATGTAGAAAATCAGCGTGAATAAACAGTTTTTCATATATATTTGTATGTATATTGAGGCACATAATCATAATCAAAAAGCATGCAGTTTGGAATTTAAAAAAAAAAATTCTGAATTTGAAATTAAACAGGACAGCAGTTTGCCAAGTATGAGCCGTAAATTACATATCTGAACGTTCTTTAGATTTTTTTTAACCTTATGAGCCAGTTTGATTATTAGAGGATACTATTTAGACTTTTATCATATATTTCTGATGATACTATTTATTCCAATGACATTTTTGTTAAACTATGGGGCTACTAAAGTAACTATTTTTGAAATATAACTTTAGTGGAGGCTTTGTCTTTGTCGATCAGCTGCCTAATTTTAAGATAGTCATTAGAAAATGGATTGTTTACATAATATGACGTCAATGTTGAATAAAGCCGTTTTTTATTTTTATTTGTTTGTATATTTTTTTAGACAATCATCAAATTAACTTGATTGTTTAACCTCTTAGAAGTTTTGCTTTTAAGTAAACATGATGTCTACAAACCTGGAGTGTTCTAGTTATCTCTCCTTTTTTCTCAAGCTTAGCCATCTTCTAAGATGCTTACTTAGACTTACTTTTTAAAACATTGCAAGTCATGATGTGTATTCTCTCAAATTTTCAGGATTTTAATTATGATAGTTTATCTAAATTAGTTTTAATTTTTCATTTAAAATATCATTTTGCAAATTATGTGTTAACATTTTCAATTCAAATATTTCTTGTTACGTTGACAAGATTAGACAATACAATGTGATTAAAAAGCTCAAAATCTTGCATTAGTTGAGACACTTAAAAAGCTCTAAATAGAAATTCTTAACGTTGTTTGAAATTAAGTGGCAAAAAAAAAACAACCCAAAAAGCAACCTTTAGTAAAAAAAAATATATATATTTATTTTATTTGAGTTAATTTATGTCCTGAATAAGATATCAAGATAAGATTTATTCAGTGACTAATATCATAAATAATGGTAAGAAAGAAGAACCCTTTGAAATATTTTTAAACTGATTTGACACAAAGTTCTTCACTTAAAAAAAGAAATATCTTTGAAAAATTATGTTTTGGATTAGCTGTTATTTGTCTCTTTTTATAACTAGTAAGCTAAATTATTAAATTAAATAGAAACTAATTTGTTCTATATCTTATAGGTCAAAGGGTCTATAAAAGTACTGAAAGATCAACCACCTAATGTTGTAGAGGGTTTACTAAATGCTTTAAGGTAAGATTTAATTTCTTATTCTTTAATATGTGTTAGTTGCTTTGAAAATTTTGCTTTATATAATTGGGCAAGTTTAAAATAAGTGAAAATCTAAATGTTTGCCAAACAATTTTTTAATATGAATCATTAAAAGCTATTTAATTGCTGTTATTTTATAAATTATATACCTGGTAATAGAAACTGTAGCACGATGGCAATCGCCGTAGATTGCATATGCATATTATTTTTAATTACATATTGCAAAATTTTACAAATGTAAATTCTGCCTGATTGAGTTGGGATTGTAAACAAATTTAAATTCATGCATATTGTGCAGCAGATCAGCACATTAAACTGTGCTACTACGGTTCTATATAAATTATATTGAATATAAGCACATATATTGCATGTAAATATGTATATATGTATTGTCGTTGACGATAGATAGAATAAAAACAGGTCTTAAGCTTGGGAAGAGAACAGTCAGCCAAGTGACAAAAAATCGAAGTGCTCCCGAATAAAAATTGGGAAAAAATCTTGCCAAATAATCCTGATGATTTTTGTTACCTCACATGGAAAAAGGGAAATCTGCGTAATTACAATTGGTTCATTAAATAGATTGAGGGAATAATATGTTTCTTACAGTTCCGTTTAAGGGGAAACTTAAAATATTAATTTATGCATACTTGAAACCAAAAATTGTGAATAATAAAGTAAGAAAAAGATTTTCTTAAAGGAATAATATAAAAAGATTAGTTGAAGCTTTTTATGTTGTATGCATATGCTTACTATAGAATAGCTTACATTGTAATAATTACATGAATTGTGAATTGCTTGAATATATTTATGAGCCTAAAATTAACTTTTGGGTATCTTGAATTTATGATTTCCAATTAACTCTTTTATATGGCATCTTTAAAAAAAACCCCGATAGTGAAAGGTACTATCAACAAAAGTTTGCAGGCAACTGCTTTATAAAAATTTAATTTATCCTTTTTTCTATCTGTCACTTGGGGTATAATAGTTCAGCTTAGATAAAGTTTTTTGGATAACTGAACTTTTCCTGCACAATTTAGAACAATTTTTTATTGTATATTGTTATGTTTGTTCAATTATCTGATGAACAAAAAATGTTTCTTTGTTTTTCAGATATACCACTCGGCATTTAAATGATGAGTCTACACCCAAGCATATCAAAAGTCTGTTAGCATGATCACCTGCTCATTATTTTATAAAATTTGTTTCATTTATGGTATCTAAAAGGTGACATGCCAGTGTCTTGTCTCTTGTTTCTTGGGTAAAAAAACAAACAGAAAATTTCTCTTTAAGGAACTCGTAAAGTGTGAAGTATAAAAAAAAGATGGTTGTCTGAAACTTGTATAAGTGACACTGACTGGAAATATAGATTTTATTCTATTGATATTTTTGAATGTGAGCTATATTGTATGAAAAAAAATTCATGGTGTGTTTATCTTCACATGTTTCAACTGAGTTAAGCATCGAAATTTTGAATCTCAGCAGAACAATTGCTTTCTACATATTCTGACAAAAAATGTACTTCTCATTTAAATATTAACTTTTAAATTTATTTTTACCATAATTGTTTACCATTATTTTTACCATGTTATTTGCTGAAACAAGCGAATACACGAGTCGTCAAGAGTTTTATGTATATTTTTGTGTGCATACATTGAGCTTGTGCTTGTTTGTGCATCTCATTGTCCTAGTCATTCATCTCATTAAAAAAAGTCATTTTTCATGCTTCTAGGATGCATACAAACTACTATTTCTATTGTAAGGCTTAACATATAGTCAAGTTTTTTTTACCTAACAATTTTTCTTTTTTCGAATCAAATACTTATTCACGGGTAACAACATATTTACAAATTAAAATATTCTAATAAGTGCCATATGGTTTATATTGAGTATCTTTTATTCTAATTTACTGTAAAACTCTCTCAGAGTTGGTGGCAAAAAAATAAGTGAACAAATAAATACTTTTATGGCACAGGCAAAAAATACTGAACTTCTAAATATTAAACACTTTTCTGCTCTTGGGTATGAAATTGTATAGGATTTTAGTGAAACTGTACTTGTAACTGTACTGACATTGCTTTAGAGATGTCTTTATGTTAATTAAAACGATTAGTGATTGCTAAAAACAATAGTTTTACAATAACAAATGTGTTACAGTAGTATTATAAAACGATAGTCAATAGTGTATAGAAACAAATAGTTTTACATGCATGGTGATTTGTAATCTTTTTTAAATAAATTTTACCAAATAGAGCATACAGTTTGGGAAAGAGTTAATAAACTATACAAAAAAATTTGAAATTATGAAATCCAAATTAGTGTCTGTTGCTAACTATACTGACAATGTAGCTGTAAAATAAATGAATATTCATTGATGCAAAAAAATAATCAGTTTTACTCTAAAATAATAGAATTTTTTTTATTAATTTTTTACATTGCTTTAAATGTTCAAACATCATAGCATTCAAATATTGGGTAGTAAAAATAGGTTTTTAAAGACAAAAGCATGTTTCCTGCCATATTTGAGCAAAATTGGTTGAATGTATAATCTAGAATGGAAAACCCATTAAATAGTTTAATATTTGAAGTTATGATATAAAAACATTATTTGTGTAAAACTAGAATGTTTTCTAAACCTTGCATATATTTAAAACTTTGCTTAGATTTTAGCATAGCTTCAAAATTAGTATCAAGCATAGATATTTTGTTTATTTTATTATTTCTCTACTCTGACAACGTGACTTGGTGATTTATAATTTCTTTAAAGTTATGTATTTTATCTAAAATAAATGTCACAAAATATTGAAGCAGCCACTAAAATAGTGTTTGATGTCACCAGTATTCCAGTTCATCGTTGATTAGCTGCCACTAATCAAAAGTGTTTCTAACCAGTTCAGAAAAAAAAAATTATTTTATGATTATTAACGAAGTATAATTTAGTGCTCTAAAATAAGTTCTATTTATTACTCTTTATCTTTAGCAAAATTTTGTTTTGCAGTTTCTAAATTTAATGCAGAATAATTGTACATTCGTTAACTAAGTACAATTTTTCCCTGTGATAGTTCAATTGTATCCATTTTTCTTTAAAATATGTTAACTCAATGGGTCAATAGATTTTAAGTATTTGTGTGCATCCTTTTATTTAGGTGAAATTTTATTTCTAGTTCAAATTCATAAATCATTCATTCGTTAATGCATAATGAGCGCATTTAAAAAATAAAAAAAAACCACTGAATATTTTTTATTATTCAAACTCATTACAATACGGCATAAAAAAAAGTTACATATGTGTGCCTGTATAAAATGGATGTTATAACTTTTTTGTGAATGTACTTATTTGTATTGATATTCTTATTTAACTATTCATAAAGGAAAAAAAAAGAGCAGCATACAGTAAATCTTAAGATTTTAAGAATTCTGGAAAGGGACTATTTTGAAATAATTTTTATGCAGCTTAAGAAAAAACTATGAATAGCTTTCCATTTCAAATATAAACAAATTTCCCCACTTAGCTTATTTATTTGTTATTTGGAATGATTAGACTCACTTCATACTGCTAATGTAATGTACTTATATCAGAGCTCACAATGTTTCTTATTCATAAATAATAATAGTCTTGTTTGCATGTTGAAGCTTTCTGGCAAAGTTTTAGGCTGCCTGCGCACAAACTTTGATTCCACAAATGAAATTTAACCCACCTCAAAATTTGTAACTACAAATAGTTTGTGGTTGCCCCTTTTTTTACATGACGTTACAGGTTGGGCGCTCCAACTTTGTAAGGACCACCTTTAGATTCAGCAATAAGGATTGATAGGATTTATGAAAAATTAGAATGCAGAAAGCCTTATCTTTCAGTTCATGCAGAATATAACATTTCTTTTAATTTGTTTTTGTGAGGTATCGATTTCATCGAGGAACAAAAAACTTGTTTGCGTGCAGTGTCAGTAACTTCCTTTCTCCTCCAATGAAAGTAATGTTACCAAAATACTTAATTTAATTGCCCTCCAATGCACCTTCTTTATTGCTATATTTATTAAAAATGCAATGCTCGTTGTATTTGTACTCCATAATGTTTGCAAATTTTTAAAAATGGATAAGCTGCGTAACATGGAGTCTGTGGAGTGTACTCCAAATCCTTGAAATCATTGTGGTTCATAAAGTGAAAAAGTTCAATTGACACTGAAGAGAAATATTCTTCTTTTTTTTCCAATAACAATAGGTATTGAACTTTTGTTCTTCACCTCAGAAGATGCCGGTAGTGTTGCTCATTTAACGTTATCCAGTGGGCACCTGTGAGCATAAGTCATGGAGACGAGCAACATTACCCACGCCACATTGAAACATCCATGCCCAGAGTGGGATTCGAACGCGCAGCCATTGGGGTCGCAGTCAGGCACGCTAACCACCTGGCCGGCAGATAAATATTCTACACTTCTTTCCTTGGGTGTAAACAAAAGACTAAATACATAAAATGATTTAATAATAAATTTAAATTTGTTATGGAAAATGTTTTATTAATTGTTGTAAGGACTGTACTTTTTAATTGAAATAAAGTATGCCTTGGAAGTTAAAGAAGCTAACTGGTGCAATTTATGCAGGTTAATCGATGTAATGTTAGGTTCTAAAAATTATATTAACTATAATTATTTAAGATTTTCACCTGTATTTTTACAATTTGATTTACATTACAAAATAATTTAAAAATCTTGAAATAAGAAATACTACTAAATAAAGAAATATTGCCAAATAAAGAAATATATCACGTGAAAGTAAGTGTACTGGGTTGTTTAAAGACTCTGCTGTCAAGCAGAAAAGCATCTTAAAGGTTGAAGTTATTCAGAGCATGCTCCATTCCACAGAACTCATCCAAATGTTGCATATTATAAAGCTTTGTTTTATTATTGACATGCTTATATTCAGTTTCAATAATCTTGAGAGGTGTAAAACAGTTCAGATTTTATGAGGTTAAAGTTATGAAAGAGTCAACATGCAAATCAAGTCTATTATTCTGCAAGTAAGCATATTATAATTAAAAATGAAATAGAAAGTCATATAATTGCATGCAAAAATTAAATATTATCAAAAAGCAATTTTACTTTATAAAGTAATTTCATTGTACTTTTATTTGCTTTTAAACTAACTTCAAAGTCAGTTTAACAGCAAACTAGTATCTTAGTGTAAAAGTAGCAGCATTATGTTTCCGAAATAGGAGATATTGTTTTTGAAACAAAACTAATATATTTATAATTAAAAAACAATGTCTCTTACTACTAAAATATGAGATGATTGTAGGAGAGCTGACAATGTTTGGACAATTATTACTATGATACTTATGTCATTTTACAGTAAAATCTTTTTTATTTTATAGAAAACTGGATTCTGATTTTTTCTCTTTGTCTCTCTCTATATATTTTTTTCAATTTTACCAATCAGCAACATAATAACATAAAAGTATTTTTCAACTCTGGATCAATTTCATTTCAGTATTGAAAAATGTTATAAATTGTAAGATATCCAAAGGATCTACAAAATAGTTTAAAAGGCGAAAATTGAAATGTATTTGAAAAAATGCATTTCAATTAAGAACATGCATACTTTATCAACATCAAGAGAAAAAATACTAGCGATCTTCCGTAAACAAATTAAAACTCATTTGAATTAAGTTTTTTTAATGATTTAATTTAAGCCTTATTAATGATTAAATGATTTTTAAATTGCAAAAAAAAAAAAAAAAAAAAAAAAAAAAAAAAAATTTTTTTGTTAATTAATTTTGTATTACATATATTAAAAGAATATCAAAATAAATATAGCCATCAATTATGTATACTTTGAAAATTTTAGGTTATAGAAGAAATTATTAACAAAAATATAGCTTAAATATAAGAAATGTTAATTAAACTATAAAATTATCTAACTTACTCACCCTAAATTATATACTTAAAAATTATTTATGTGAATAAAATTAATAAACCTATTTTTTACTTTTAATAAGAAATATGGCTTGTACTTAATTGAAGAAATAAATAGAATGTATATATAATTATAATATTCTTAATGCAATAATTTTATTTAATATTTCAAACCCACATAGAAAAATATAACAAAAATACCTGTATGATAAATGTTTGACTAAGATAAAATTGACCAATATTATTTTTAATCTCTTCTAAACTGATTTACTCCTAATGACAAATTTTTCATTTTCACATGCATCATCAGGAAAGAAGAAATACTTATGTTTTTTGTTGCTATTTGTTTCGTTAATTAGAATAAAGAAGGGAATAAGCTATCTATTTAATTTGTTAATTATATATATTTATTTCATTAAAATTTTTGATGTTAATTTTTATTTTAAAAAAAAGTAAGCCCCATTCTGGGTATAAAATTATAAAGCTTTCTTATGAAAGAATTGAAAATCCAGTAATATTGATTATTTTTGTAACAAGTTTTTTTTTCTTGCTACAATTATTTGATTTTAAATAGTTTCTAGTATGTGTGTGCTCTTTGATTCTGTTTTACATTTAACTTCAGTTTTCGTGGATTGTTTTTTAATCAATAATGTTAAACTTAAAATAAGTTTTACCTGACTGTTCAGTGTTACTTAATGATTATGCTTTTAACTATGGAAAGTGTTTGTGATACTCTTGTATTTATTTTTTATACTTACTATCTCATTTTTTCTTCTTATTTACTTATACATTGTTGTTGTTTTTGTACAGTCACTTTTGCATTACTGTCATCTCACGTTTAGATTTAAATTGGGCCACTGACACACATTTTCAATTTTTGTTTTGAACAAAACTTTTTTTTATATATATTTTCGAACAGTATCAAGATCAGTAATATTGCACAAAGTGAAGAAAAGATTAGACTTATGGGCAATTTTGGATCTGTACTTGTAGTTATGTAGCTGAAGTACTTTTGTTGTTGCTTGAATGTTTATAATTACTTATAAATTTTAAGTTGATTTTCTACAGATTTTAAAATGTTGAAATATTTATGTTTTGTTGCTGTTGAAAGTTATTTATTCCATTGTCCATCTAAAATATTTCTTCTCTTCAACAATTGTCTAAATTTCTTTCAATCTTTTTACATTGTAACGTTTCTGTGACAATAATCAAAACTTTTAATTTGTTTATTGTTGTTTAAAGGGACACCACGTCAAAAATTATAAAATCTATACGTCTTATTCTTTTTTAAACAGTTTTTTTATATTTTAATTTTAAGCTTAAATGAATAACATAAAACTTATTTTCTTACGATGTATTCCTTTAAAACATATCTATTTAAAAAAACCTTGGGAATTGTTTTCATATTAAATATTATATAAGTGTGTGTATAGCATGTATATATAGCACACGCACACTCGTATATGTACACAAGAAAACATTCTGCATGAAAAAAATATGAAGAAAATAAAATATTTATTAAATTATAATAATATAATATAGATGCTAAGAAATTTTTATTTTATTTGCTTTCTATTTATTTTTTTCATATTTAATTTATATTCTTTAATTAACAAAAAACCTAAGTCCAAGCATGTAGTAGATTTAAAATAATAAATAAAACCAAACTGGTTGTCCAATCACTAGTTTAAATTAGTGCCATAGAGAAACTCTTAAGTTTTCTCTGAGCAAATAACAATCCAATAAAAAATTATATCCTCTTTTTTATTATATTTTTTACCTACTAGCTTTGATCCAAAACTTTTTGATATTTCTTTGTGGGACCAAAGAACATTCTATGTATGCAAAAGTCAGAGTTTAATATTTCAAATTATTTATTGTGAAGTGTAATTATTTCACTACATATTTCTATAAAGCGATCTCTTATAAAAAAAAATCATAACTACACAGGTCCTAATATTATACTACTTTAAAACAATTTATATTAAAAAAACTTTGTCTATACATTTTTAAAAAAAAAATTAGAACACACGATATTGAAGATAACATTATAAATTGGTAATCGATGGTATTATGTAGCAATTTTTGTTGTGGTGTACCCTTAAAATTTAAAAAAATTCAACTAAAAATGTATTGCTTGTTACCTGATTTGAAATGACTTAATTAAATTATGATGTTAAAATATTTGATTTCTTATATAGTAAAGATTAAGTATCATCTAAAATATATATATGGTTGTTTGAATTTAGACTTTCTGTACATGCCTTAAAATTTTAAATTTATTAATCGTTGACTGGATGTTTATTCCTATTCAGTTGTTTCTGAATGCTGTTTTTCTGTAAGATATCAAACATAAATATTTTATTTATTGCTATCATTGTTTAAATGAGCAGTCATGTTTTCCATTTTAAAATGAGATTCTTATTATGGTATGTATATAGATATTTTTAAATCAGCATTTACTGTGAATATATTTCTCAATGTAAAAAAACAAAAAGAAGAAACAAAAGCTTTAATTTAGTGCTAAGTAAATTTATTTTGAAGCCTGCTTTCTGACTGTTTTATTTTCACTTTCAACATGATTAACTCGTACTTTGCTGATAAAAAACATATATCACTGCTTTCTTATACAGTAGGCCCCCCCCCCCCTAGTGTCTGGCTCGTGACTATCTGTTCTATGTACTATCCCACCAAGTAAAAATGATTGAAGTTGAAATTGGCCATTTGAAAAAATCGTTGTAGGAGAAAAAAAATGAAAAATTGGTTTGCTGCCAATTCCCAAATATATGAGTGTTGTATGCAAAATTTAGCTCGACTCGTTCTTTGTCATAAATTTCAAAGTAGCAATTATTTTTGCATTTACACGAGTTATACACATGGGTGCAAGTCTTCCGTCCCCAGGACGGATTTCCGTCTTTCGAAAATGTCCGCGGACGGAAGTAAGACGGAAACAAGACTGACTCGAAGACGGAAATCGGAATTATTTCTTTTTTCTGTCCATAAAAATATTTTTTAGGTCTACGTTATTGGTCTACTTTCTTATGTCCTGTTGTTATTTTATCAAAAGACAGATGAATAAATATTTTTTGTACAGTATTTAAACTTGATGTATTATGGTAAAGCTTTCTTAGACAGTTTGCATATGTCGAGGGGGTATTGTGTATGTTAGGTATTTCAGTTAAAAAATTTTCAGTCTTGGCCTTTTTTCAAACTTGCACCCATGGTTATACATCATTACATGTTAAATATTTTAAAATGAGTAACATGTGTTTTTAATTACATGGGAGGAGGTAGTAATTCCCAGTAGAACACTGAAGCGAAGCATCATTGGCTGTGGTTAGTAAGCGGGTATTTGACTACTTTGATCAGCCTGCA